ATCTACTTCCGGCGCCCTCTAGGCTTCTCTGGGTCCTTCCCACCTAGGACCCAGTGAAGCCTGCTTCGTCCTGTCTACGGCCTTCGTCAGGCACCCCGTCAGTGGCACGACACACTTCGCACCACTCTTGCTGAGCTGCAGTTCTTTCCGTCCTCTGTTGACCCCTCTCTCTTTGTTCGCACGGGTCAGACACCGTTCTACTTTCTAGTGTACGTAGACGATCTTATCTTTGCTACTCCCGACAGAGTCGCACTGGCCTCAGTGAAGGCCGAGTTACTTAGGAGACACACCCGTACTGACTTGGGGGAGCTGAGGCACTATCTGGGCTTGGAGATCTATCGTGACCGTGCCGCTCACACGATCACACTCTCCCAGTCCCATATGGTGCAGCAGATCCTCCAGAGGTTTAGTCTCCAGTTCTCCTCAGCACAGCCCACCCCCTTGCATGTGGATCACAAGCTCTCTGCTCCTGTTCCGGCTGAGCCAGTCGAGGCTAGTGGTCCATACGCAGAGCTGGTGGGGTGCCTCATTTATCTGATGACCTGCACTCGACCAAATCTAGCGTACTCTCTCAGTCTCCTGGATCGCTTTGTCGCGACAGGCAGGCACCGACCAGTCCACTGGTCGGCTGCCAAGAGGGTACTACGGTACTTGGAGAGCACATCATGACTGAGGCTTGTGCTAGGAGCGAGTGGTGCTCACTGGACACACAGACACGTCGTGGGCAGACGACTTGGAGACGCTCAGGTCGACTCAGGGCTACTACTTTAGTCTTGGTGCTGGTGCAGTCTCGGGGAGGTCCACCAGGTCGTCGTCTGTAGCTCAGTCCAGCTGTGAGGCAGAGATCTACGCTGAGGCCATGGCTGCTCAGGAGCTTCTTTGGCTGACGTTCTTGCTCACTAACTTAGGTGAGCAGCCTAGGTCTGCCCCAGTCCTGTTTACTGACAACAGGGCCATGATCCTCTTGTGTTAGGAGGCACGACTTGAGGGCAGAGTGAAGCACATCCAGCTGCGGTACTTCCTGCTGCGAGAGTTGCAGCAGCGCGGTCAGGTCCGTGTAGTACAGTTGGCCTCAGAGGCCAACACCGCTGATATCTTCACCAAGGCACTTGCGTCTCGTGACCATCAGCGGTTCTGTACTCAGCTTGGTCTAGCCTCAGTAGCAGCACCTCTCCTTGTATCCTGAGTCATACTATACCCGCCTGTACTTGTTGTATTACAGTGGCGGAAAAAATTGCCCGGATGTTTAGCACTTCGAAACTTTTCGATATGCCACACTTGTTTCGAAAATATTAACACCATTTTTTTCCCATTCAGTTACAAGGTTGTCGAGTTCTTCTTCAACCGTATCCTGCTTGGCGCGATTGTGACACAACCGAAAAGCGGGGTTGAGATTTACTCCTCGGCTGTCGATCCGGACAGTTCATACCGAACAACGTTCTAGATCTATTTTCGCCCGTCACTCTGTGTGCACATTGTCTCACGCAACAGCTGCTAGTTTAGGAGTTAGTCCAGAAGCGAACCTACGACCACATCGCGATGAAGCCGGTAGATGGCAAGAAGCGCGCGCGAATCATAAGCATGTTGCGCAAAGGGCATTTGACTAGGAAAATAGCCAAAGTTCTTGGCATAGGCAAGAGCACCGTGCACGATTACGGTCTGAAGGTGATTGCCGAGACTAGTCGCGATGAGGTGCGACCCACAATGCCCACGGCCGGCCGCCCCCGCTTAATCACAACCTGACTTCAGCACGGAATAGTTCGAGCGATTACAAGCGGGGAGGCAAAAATCAGTGTAGACGCCGTGAAGATGTTAGAGGAGAAGCACGCTCTGGCTGTAGACTCGAAGACAATCAGGAACTCGTTGCGATCCGCGGGCTTGATTGCTGTGCAGCAGCCCAAGAAACCCAGGCTCTCACCGAAAAACATACGTGATCGGCTAGATTTCGCGAGGTCACATGCCGACTGGACGCTGGAGGACTGGAAGCGGATGATTTGGTCTGATGAGACTAAGATAAACCGTTTCTGCTCCGATGGACGTGCGTACGCCTGGATTTGCGAGGGCACCAGCCTCCAGAGCCATCAAGTCCAACAGACAGTCAAGCATAGGGGCAGTTCTGTGATGGTGTGGGGTTGCATGACGTATGAGGGGGCGGGGTTCATGTTGAAGATAGATGGCACGATGGATGGGCCGCTGTATCGCAGCATCTTGCAAGATGAGCTCTCACAGACCATCGACTTTTTCAAGCTCCCCCCCTCAGAGGTCATTTTCCAGCACGACAATGATCCCAAGCACAAGTCCCGTCTGGTGCAAGACTGGCTCGGGGAGCAGGAGTACGCGATGCTGGAATGGCCCTCGTCCTTCCCGGACCTTAACCCGATAGAGCAATTGTGGGCACACTTGAAAAGGCAGCTGTGACGTACGAAAAACCACCTAGTGGAATGCTGGAGCTGTGGGAGAGGGTGCAGGAGGAATGGGACAAGATACCGGCGGAGGTGTGTTCAAACCTCATCGACAGTATGCCGAGGAGGATCAAGGTAGTGATTCGCGCAAAGGGACGCTGGACTAGGTACTAGTTTTCCATGATTCTAGTTTGTTGCTTGTCCTCGGTACAAATTGTCCGGATGTGCTCCTGTGATATGCTTAGGTGTTTAAGGACCATGTATTATACTACTCTGGTGTTTGGCGACTTGAATGAGTGCTCTAACTGATCTTCGCAACGTGTATGCACACCATAAATCAAGGCTTCATGTTTACGCCGCAGCACTCATCAAAATGCAAAATAAGACTGAACATCCGGACAATTGTTTCTGTCACTGTATACCTGCTTGTCTTGGTACACTTGCTGACTGGCCTTGTGGCCTCTTGTCTCAGTGGTCAGACTAGTAGTATTGCCCTGAGTTTTCTTACTACACTCATCAGAGGTCGGACTAGTAGTGCTGCCCTGGTGTATTTTTCTTTGTTAGGAACTACCACTATCTTGGCTAAAAGGTGTGTCAACAAATATAATTGTCTATGCTAGGTACAGTATATTTGTTATAGCCTTAGTTAGGTCAGTTCTTAGAGGGTGCATTCCCACCTTTGTAACCCTCAGCCTTCCTCCCTTAGTCATTTTTCTCTCGACATTCTAACATCCGCCGCCTGAACGCGCGTGGCAGCAGGTGACGATGGATTTCGTTACGGGATTGCCTACCAAGGACGACTGTAATGACGCGATATTTGTCGTCGTTGATAAACTGACGACGATGGCCCACTTTGCCGCCTCAAAGAAAAGCATCTCAACCGAAGAAACGACCCGCCTCTTCATATCAACCGTCATTCGCCACCACGGAATCCCATCCGCCATTGTTTCAGATCGCGACACGAAATTCACCAGCAACTTTTGGCGCTGCCTCTGGGAACAGTTTGGCACGCACCTGCAGTTCTCTTCCGCCTACCACCCCAAGACAGATGGACAAATCGAACGCGCCAATCCAACAATGGAGCAGCTGATTTGCGCCACATGCGATGATGTGGCCGGCTGGGAACAGCAACTGTCACTGATTGAGTTCACCATTTTACCTGAACTACGGGCACAACCGTATAGTTTCGATCACGCCCTACATAGAAAATCCTGTACCACGAGCCCAACAGTTCGTCGAGATATTACAAAATGCGCGGGAGCGAGCAACCGAAGCCATTAAGTGTGCGAATGTAATTTCTAAGCGCAACGCTAATCTACACTGACGAGCACTCACTTACCATGCTGGAGACTTAATACTACTCGACACCCAGAACCTTCGACTGCCCATCGTCCCAAAACTCCGCCCCTGCTACTGTGGACCATTTACCATTAGCCACATTGTATCTTTTGTTACAGCCCATCTACTGTTACCGGCCACCTGGAACGTCAGTCCATCATTCCACGTGCAATTATTCCAACCATACATCGCCAGTACTTGTAAGGTACCACGTCACCGAGTGAACCTGAACATCCGACCGTTTGCTGAGCCTACTATCGAACCTGCGAAGGTTCCCAGCCATCGGATTAGGGACCCCCGAGGGGCTCGCCTGATCGAGTTTCTAATTTCTTAGAAGGACCAGACAGTTTTTTCTTGGAAGAACCGAGGTATTTCCTTATCACTAGTTTTAGCCAGTAAGGCGTACACCGCTATAACGGGGTTATACGCAGCTCTGCCACAGTCAAATCGCTGTCCCAAATGTGGTCTCCTGACAAGCAGCAGACATTGTTGTCCGCCTTGCTGTTGCATGCCTAGATCTGGGCGCTCCGCGCCATTTGCGAACCACACGTCGCAGCTCTGCCGAGCCACAACCGTGTGCTCCTAGGCTAGCTATATCCATACTCCATGTTGTTTGATGTCGCCTCAGTTGTATTGTTTCCCCGTTAATCAATTATTCGACGCACGCTCTTTGCGCTTCATTACAATTTCTAAATTGAAGCCCGTGTAGAGCTTACATTACCGTGGGGAAACTAAGAGTTCAGGGAGCAATGTGGCTTCTCCATAGATTACCGCTTGTTTGGTAAATAAGTGATCTTGCGCCTTGGACAGAATGGGCTTACCCCTATGGTGATTGCTAATGTTCAGGTACAAGTATGCCTGTACCGGAAATTTCATGTCGAGTACTCTACAGTCGGAAGGTGCTGTAACGAAACTTGTCACCCTTCCCGCCAGAATCTGAGAGTTGGTGTGGGCCTTGGCAGGCGTGGTTGCGAGACCTGATTGGTCCGCTGCTGCGTGCTCGCGTGAAGGGTCTGGAGACAGACTTGCAGCTCATGTGCGAGCAAGTGAAGAGTTTCCGTTGAATCTCCCTGTTCAGATGATGCGATTTGGTACGGTTTGTCTGCAATTAAGCTTGGTACAGAAGGTTATAATATGGTACATTCTCAGAATTTGGTGCCGCGCTCATTTTCAGCACGAAGCTGACGAAAGCCCGGTTGGACACGCCCTGAGATAGTGGCATACTTGGTGACTGACAGATTTGCTTGCGTTGCAAATCATTAGCTGTTTCTAGGACTCCTGCAATACTGTATTGCTTCTAGGTCTTACCTTTGGATCAGCCAGTGTCCAGTCCAGTGAGTCATAGTTCGTTTCTAGCTTCTAGTGTCCTTGCGACAGGACACTACACCCTTTCTCTGTTCGTTGCTATCCCCTCTAAGAGAGCTTCGTCTTCACGAATTCTGGCTATTGCTTCGATCTGGCTTTGACTAAGATCGCCTTTCCTATAGATGCGCATCGAGGAAATACGTAGTCGGTGTTTTTTTTTACTGTAGCTTACGTGATACGTATGGGAAGGTTCTAGTTTCAGTGGTGCGTAGATTGGCCGAAATCCTTACAAGCTAAATGTTATAATTTTTGGTAGACACGCGACCATTAGATAGACAGGCGACCATTAGATAGAGAGGCAACAATTGGATAGACAGTTGATCTGTAGATAGGCAGGCGATCGAAGCCGAGCTTACTGGGACGAATCTTCTGACGCCGCGACGCAATGGCCTCGTTCGAGATGACCGATATGAAGAGTACGTTTCTGGTCTCCCTGAAAATGTGTGACTAGAACCAGTGAAAATGTTGCCTGCGGATTCCGAGATTGCTTGTGGCAGGGAATGCTGTGAAATTGCATTAATAATGGTATGTTGTGATTTGCATTAATCATGGTATGCTGTGAAATGGCATTTATCATGGTATGCCGTGTCTTAACAGAGTTGCTCCTTCTCCTTCGTGCTTCGCATACGTTATCTCGAGACTCATTCAGAGGCGTCTCTGGCTCACAACGAGTTCTCGCCTCCTGTTCATTTGTGCGTTGTGCAGAGATCGGTATTGGATTGACTGCGTTTGGCGTGCTGTTCTCGTTCCTGGGAGTCATCTTCTTCTTCGATAAAGGGCTATTGGCCATGGGTAATGTGAGTACCGCCTGGGGAATGCGGGTACGGGAAATTCTGAGTATTCCCTGCGCGTGCTCGCTTCTAGAGGGGCGGCTTCCCTCTCATTGCTTGCAAAGGACAGGATCAGGTGACTTTTGAGTCGACTCAAAGGACGGGACTAGGTGACTTTTGAGTCGACTCAAAGGACAGGAATTGGTGACTTTTGACTCGACTCAAAGGACAGGACTAGGTGACTTTTGAATCGACTCAAAGGACAAGCACAAGGCATCAGTCCTCGCATTACCCTGTGAGGGGCACAAGGCATCCGTGAACTGATGATTTGGATCCCAAGGAAAGAATGAGCAGCCACTCTCAGACTGCTCACCCAAAACCCTGAACAGTCACTCAGACCACTCGCTCCCAACCACAGTTTACTGATGTGGAAGATAACTTACTGTGCCAGCTTGGCATATGATCCATTGTGAACAAGCACCTTGGTCTTAACGCAGTCGTTTCTTAGCCCACGAATTCTGCACATGGTCTTTATAGCGTGACCACCGCCTTGCTGCTCTTCCTTCTGTGAGTGACGATGCCTGGCATGAAGTCCATGTGCAGCAATTAAAATACGTTAATGAGATGCCATGAACATGAGTCAGCTTTTGAGTCGACTCAAGAATGTGCAGCAATTTGAGTACGTTAGTGAGATGCGATGAACGTATTCATGAACGTGAGTGACGACCCTTGGCATCTCACTAACGAAATCAAATCTCGGTAATTGATTTCCATGTTTTACTTCCATGTTCCTTCTCCCATTACCAATCCTCAATGCTTCATCCCAGATCTTGTTCCTCGCCGGTGTGACCCTCACAATCGGCCTGCAATCCACAATTTCCTTCTTCACCAGGCGAAGAAACAGGAAGGTGAGACATAAATAAAGTGTGTTCTAATGCTCTCAGCTTTGCACCAATGCTCCTGCTGCTTCCAAGCCTGTCGTCCAACCCTATCCCAACCACAACGTCCACTCCCGCCCACCCAAGGTGACCTACCCTTACACGGCCGTTCCTTTCTCTGCTGTTTTGCTTTGTTCTTTCTACCGTTTTTGAACCGGTACACCCCCCCTGCAACCCATCTTCTTCTGGTCCCTTTCCTCCTCGTTCCACTCATCCACACCACAGCTGTTTTCATACTGCTTGGCGTGCTCTCCTCCCCCCCCCCTCCCCACCCCCACCCCCGTCTCCCTCCTCCGATTGTTTCTGCTGTCGGAGGTAATGGTGCATATAAAATACCTTGCCATTCTCCCGTTTAGCGCCAGGTGCTTGTCAGAAGGTATTTTATAAAACGCCTTGCCATTAGTTTGTTCTCCCGCTTTCTGTTCTCACAGGGCTCGGCGTTTTTCCTTTCTGGGTTGGTCCTGGTTGTGATCGGGTGGCCAATGGTTGGCATGGCAATCCAAGCATATGGCTTCGTGCTTCTGTTCAGGTATGCACGGGTCAGGGTGTTCAGGTGTGCATGTCTCAGGGTGTTCAGGTGTGCATGTCTCAGGGTGTTCAGGTGTGCATGTCTCAGGGTGTCATAGCCCCAGATCACCCCTTGATCATCGTCCTGGTTGTGATTGGGCGGCCAATGGTTGGCTCGGCAATCCAAGCTACGTCTTTGCTCTTAGGTTCAGGTGTGCATGGGTCAGGGTGTCATAGCTGCTGTTCATAGTCCGGGTTTGATAGCGTGGACAATGGTTGGCATGGTAATGCAAGCATACAGGCATGGGTCAGTGTGTCTTAGTCTTGGTTGTGATACGATGGGCAATGGTTAGCGTTGCAGTCCCAGCATACAGCTTCGTTCTCCTGTTCAGGTAGGCATGGGTCAGAGAGCCTTAGCCCCTGTTCCTAGTCCTGGTTGTGATTGGGTGGCCGATGATCAGCATGGCAATCCAAGCATACAGCTTCGTTCTCCTGTTCAGGTAGGTATGCAGCAGGTTCGTCGTTCCGTTTGATTATTTGAGGCTCTGAATAAACATACCTAGTATTAGGCTCGGTTCTACTCTTCAGGTAGGCGCGAGACAGGCTGTCTCTCACTTTTTGTGCAGTTTGAGATGTTGCGTTACAGTATTAGTCTCCAGCAGTTCTTTTGCAGCCTTTCGTACGAGTTTCGCAAGTTCTTTTATTAATCTCACATCTGCATTTTGGGGGTTTCTTGCTCTTGCTATTCCTCCTGGCATTGGCTTTCTTCCCACACTTCTTGTCTTCATGCAACGGATCCCCATCCAGATGCGCTCATGCACTATGACCTTATAACATGTGCTCTCTTCATTGTGCTCTCTTCTGAAATGCCTTGCTCTTGCTCCTGGCAGTGGCTTTCTGCCCACGCTTCTTGTCTTCATGCAACGGATTCCCGTGCTTGGATGGCTGCTAGATCAACCATACATGCGCCAGGTGCGTTCACAGCACTACATTCACCGTACCATCTCTAGTGTACCATCAGTCTGTGCTTTTATAAATGCGCTGTTTATCCCTGTTTTTTGTGCAATGGTCATAGTAATATGGTCCTCCTGTGCTGGTTAAAACGTGAAGGAGTGATGTTTTCTGGGAGGGTTATGTTGGAATTGATGTCCTAGCAACCATTGAGTCACCTCAAATTCATCTCTAGCCACCCTCTCCCTGCTCCGCGTTTGTGTGTGCCACACTTTCATTATACTATGGCCATCCATTATTAAAATTATAACTGTCTGTTTGATTTGGGAGTGTTTGTGCAGTTCCTGGGAAGATTTCGGGATCACCTGCCTCCGTAGATTGCTTCACATTAGCTACTTGTAGAACCCTTCAGCCTCTGGTTATGTATGGACGCTGCTGCTCAAGCAAGCAACTACCTTCAGAGCAATTTCCAGCAGTGTGATCCTGCCTAGGTCACCGCCAGCTATGACTGGCTTATAGAAGCACATGAGGAGAACATCCATAGGGTTTTATATGCCAGAATGGGCTGGATGCGTTTGCTTGCACGAAGCAAGGCACAAATACAGACAAGAAGCTACTGCTGGTAGTATATGATATTAGTAACGTGCTTCTGGTACCCTCTGGTAGGTTCACAACCTACTGGTTCACCTACAGGTACCGGTGTAACTCGGATGGTCGCATGCTTGGAATATCCATGGTGCGAATTTCGGCATCTCACAATTTGTACGGTACCTACTTGTTGTCCAACTTCGGAGGCTGTAACGAATCATACCGTAAGGGTGTGTCGGCGCCCTTCTGTTCGGCGTTGGCCTGACAAGCCCAATCCAAACTGCGATCCCTCCCCGTTTCCCGCCTTCAGCTAGCCCTCGAGGTTGCACCTGCCTCAAGATCTCCAGCTTCCAGAATGTCGCGCTTTCCGTCCCTCGAGATCTCCCCTCCCCCACAGATCAAGATTCAGGATTCATGAACACATTCCCTCAAAAGCCTACCCAACCGTTCAGTTTCCAGACGAACCATTCTGGAACTAAATCAACAAGGGCAAGTCTTCGGTCAATCCTTGCAACACCATTGCCTAGAGTGGGTATTCCAAGGGAGACAGCCTCACCCTCAGCCATCAGTGGCTATTGAAGCAGTTACTCTGCCTCCGCAGGTTCTGGTCTATCGAGCAGGAAGGCGCTCCTGTTACCATTGCTGCTCTGTGATCTGTGAGCCGTAATTGGTTCGGCCAGGCCTTCGTTCGGTTTCATACGTTATTCTCATCACCACAATCTCTGTGGTACCGAGGGAACCTATTTCAGATCGTTAGAGAAATTTCGAAAATCCATTTCAATCGCGGTTCTTTTACCGTTTCCAGCATCCATAACCAAGTCGGTTAAGTAAGCATCATGAGGAGCTTATTCTACCTCCTCCTCGCGCTGCTGCTGATCGCACAGCCGTTCGCGAAGCAGGCTTCTTTCCTCTCGCGAGCTCACGACACCGACGAGGAGAGTTACACCGTCGGCGACGACGACGAACCGGAAGAAGCCGACGACTCCGAGATTCCCGAAGGCGACGACGGCGACGTTGTCGCATTGACGGATACCACTTTTCCACAGGTTCTTAAAGACAATAAGCATGTGTTGTTGGAGTTTTACGCTCCGTGGTGCGGTCACTGCAAGTCTCTCGCGCCGGAATATAAGGTCGCAGCGGCGAAATTGAAGGAGTTCGGAGTGGTTCTGGCGAAGGTGGATGCGACGAAGTATGCGGATCTTAGCGAAAAATACAACGTGGAAGGGTTTCCTACCATTGTGTTCGTCTCGAACGGAGAAACGAAGCCGTTCAATGGCGGACGAACCAGGTAAGCTGCGATCAGGAACCTTTTGAGTCGACCCAAAAGGTAACGAGTGGATCCTACTATCGTCTTCATTTCTGACGAAAAACCGGAGTCGTTTAATGGAGAATGGACATGGTAAGCTGCGAATAGGAAATTAACGGGAAATCCGAGTCACGAAGAAGAGCTATTTTTGCCTCCTTTTCGTTTTTCCTTGTGCGAAATCTGCCGTGCAACGTATTCGGAGAATCCGTTTCTTCTGTGTTTATCTGCCGTGTGATTTTATTCTTTCTGTTCCTCGCTCTTTTCTCTTTCGCTGCAGTGCCGACATCGTGTCATGGGTGAAGAAGAAGATTGGCATGGGGGTGTCCACCTTTACTGCAGCGGACGTCGCCAAAGCGGCTCCTCTCCTCGAGTCCTCCACAGCCGTTTCGGTCGGCTTTTTCGCTTCCTCCGACGTAAGTCCGGCGCGTTTCTCCTTGTTAAGGAATCGCGTGAAAAATCGTGCGTTCCAGAATCGATTCTTTCATCCAATCTGGGTCTCAGGCACCGGAAGCTGTTGCTTTCTGTGAAGCAGCCAAGGAGATTGATGGAGTGGAGTTCGTGCTCACCTGTGACGCCGATGTCGCGGCTGCGTTCGACTAGAAACAACTCCGATATTTTTTCCCCCTTTTTTGTTACAATGTGCCATGTATGTTGTCTTTCAGGCACCGGAAGCTGTTGCTTTCAGTGACGCAGCCAAGGAGATCGACGGAGTGGAGTTCGTGCTCACCAGTGACGCCGATGTCGCTGCTGCGTTCGGCCTTGCGAAGGACAAGAAGCCCACCATTGCCATCGTGAAGAAGGAGGAGGAGAAATTCGTCACCTTTGGTACGTAACAGCAGCGTCTGTGCCCTTGCGGGCATGGCCAGTGCTTACCAGTGACGTTGATGTCGCTGCTACATTCGGCCTGGCGAAGGACAAGAAGCCCGCCGTTGTCATCGTGAAGGAGGAGGAGGAGAAGTTCGTCACATTCGGTACGTCGTAGTGACACCTGTGCCCTTGATGATGTCGCTGCTGCGTTTGGCCTGGCGAAGGTCAAGAAATCGCGATCGTGAAGGAGGAGGAGAATTTCGTCACCTTTCGTACGTCCTAGTAGCATCTATGCCCTTCTTTCTCCGCCCTTTGCTCTTTTGTCGTCTTTGGTACGTCCTAGCGTCTCTGCCCCTTCTCTCTCTCCCTCTCCCCTCCCCCCCTATCCTCCCCATCGTTCTCATCCTAACGCGTCATTTCGCGGTTAAGCTGCGCTCCCACTGACGTCTCGAGTTCATTGTTGGACGGATGATCGAATCCTCCTTCCTTGTACAATCCTTCCTTGCTTCTGTCCTTGATCTTGCTCTTGACAGCAAGCACACCGAAGCCGTCACTAGCATGATTCTCGTGTGCTCCGACTCTCTCCCCCTCTGTATGGTCTCTTATCCCTGCCTTCACCCCTGCTGCAGACGGCGAGTACACCAAGGAGGCCATTGCTGCATTCGTGACTGCCAACAAGCTACCGCTGCTCATCACCTTCTCTGAAGAAACGTCGGCCAGCATCTTCGCTGGAGACATCAAGAAGCAGGTACATTGGCATGGACAGATTCACTATTGTTGTTGACTGCCAACAAGCTGTCGCTGCTGAGGAGACCTCCGCCAGCATCTTCGCTGGAGACATCAAGAAGCAGGTATGGTGAATCCACAGATACTTTTATACCCTTTTTCACTCCAGCAAGCTGCGGCTGCTCATAACTTTTTCCGAGGAGACGTCAGCCAGCCAGCATCTTTGCTGGAGACATCTAGAAGCAGATTGGTGAATTGGCCGGCTATATATCGATTGCCAGCTATGATGTGCCATCTATGGTTGCTTGTCCTCACGCTTCCTGCTATCGTTTCTCGCTCTTCTTCCCTTTCAGGTGACGTTGTTCGCCACACACGAGGAGTACGTCAAGATTGTGCCAGCCGTGGCTGCAGCAGCAAAAGCCATGTCTGGTTGCTCATCCCCACACCTCCGTCTTCCTCCTCCGCCGTCTCTCTCTCGTTCAGGTGATGCTGTTCGCCACTCACGAGGAGTACACCAAGATCGTGCCGGCCGTGGCTGCAGCAGCGAAGCAGTTCAAGGGCGAGCTGGTCTTTGTGTACATCAACGGATCGGACACGGAGTCACAGCCGGTGCATGAGTACTTCGGTACAGAAGCCAAGGAGACAACGGTGAGTGCATGGGTTCAACGCGGTGAGTACGGGTGCTCCTGCTGCTGCCAGTCGTGCCTAGTAGTAGTGGCGCAGCAGCGGAGCAGTTCAAGGGCGAGCTGGTCTTTGTGTACATCAACGGATCAGACACGGAATCCCAGCCCGTGCACGAGTACTCTGGCACAGACGCCGAGGAGACAACAGTGAGTGCGAGTTTGGAGGGTTGTGTACACATCAACGGATCAGACACCGAGTCGCAGCCCGTGCACGAGTACTTTGGTACCGACGCCAAGGGGACAACAACGTGTAGGCTTTAGATTTTCCAAGGGCGATACAATTTCAGTGTGTTGTGTGCATAAGCGGATCAGATACAGAGTCCCAAGCAGTCCACGGGTACGTGAGCACCGACGCCAAGGAGACAACAGTATGTGTTTTACCTGTGAGACCTAGAGGGAGATCTTCAGCACAGACGCCAAAGAGACGACAGTACATGGGTCCAATGCGTTACGTACAGGTGCTCCTGCTGCTGCAAGTGGTGCCTGGTAGTAGTGGCTGCAGCAGCGAAGCAGTTAAAGGGCGAGCTGGTTCTTGTGGGTTTAGACGCGCCTCCCTGGTACTGGCTGCAGCAGTGAACGGTGAATAGGCTTTCGACAGTTCAAGGGCGAGTTGGTGTATGTATGTGTACAACAACGGATCAGACACAAACGCCAGCAGAACCCTGTGCTCCCTTTCGTTCTCTGTCTGTACGGTAATGGGGTTTCTTAACGGGAGGATGCTTGAGGCGGCACTAATGAAGTTGTACTCCCCTTGGCCCCCCCGCCCTTGGCCCCCCTCTTTTTCCCAAACGTGCAGGTGATGGGGTTCTTCATGGGCGACGAGGAGGACCCCTCGTCAGCCGCAGGAGGGCTCAAGTATCGCATGAAGGAGCCAGTCACTGAGACGAACATCAAGGTAAGAAGAATGAAGTTGGGAGAATTGCCAGGTAGCTAACAACATCCAGCTCAGACAAGCAGTCCTCGTCAGCCGCTGGGTTTCGAGGCATCCCAAGATCAGGTACCGCATACAGAAGCTGGTCACTGAGGGGAACATCAAGGTGAGAACACAGTGCAGTGGAATGTGCCACAGGAAGGAGCTGGTTAATGAGGCTAAACATCGAGGTAAGGAAAGACTGAGGCATGAAGGAACATGCCAGGCACGCAGTTCTCGTCAGCCACAGCACCGCATGAAGGAGCCGGTCACTGAGGCAAACATCAAGGTGAGCGGACAGTTTGGTAGTTAGGAACATTAAGGACGACCACTGACGGGAGCACCAGGGTAGGGTGATGTAACAAGCTTGTTAGTGTAACATGTACTGAATAGCATGATCTCCCCATTTTTCATTACCCATTAGCCTTTTCCGTCCAACCTGCGGCATGCTATCTCCTCTGTCGCCCTCTCCCCTCATGCCTTTGCCAAGAGCTTCATTGTTGGATTCCGAGTCGACTAGGTGACTTTTGAGTCGACTCAAAAGTGTCGTGTGACAAAGTAACGAGGTGACTGTTGAGTCGACTCAAAAGTCACCTTTTGCCAAGAGCTTCATTGTTGGATTCCGAGTCGACTCAGAAACGCCTCTACCGTGCCCCACTCCCTGTTGGTCTCTTTCTCAGGCCTTCGCCAAGAGCTTCATAGACGGGGATCTGAAGCCATTCCACAAGTCAGAGCCGATCCCAGAGAAGGTTCGTCAACGAAAGGGTGTGACTTTGGGGTAGGGATTTCGACTGTACTTGCTCCGAGCTTTTTGTGGGCCTCTTTGAAGGGCTTTTGAAAGTTGTTGACAGGGGTTGACAGTTTTGCAAGAATATTTTTCAATATTTGCAATCGGTCTTACCCTATGCGGCCCTGAGAAGGCCATTGCACGTTTTTTGTTTTGTTTTAGTGTGTGTTTCTCTTGTGTTGGCCTCGTCGACATAACAATCCTTTGTACTTCAGACCCCTCTGCTCCTTTCGGCACCGCCCTGCACCTCTGTCCCACCTTTCCCTGTCTGTAAAATCTGTTCCTTGGCAGAACGACGGCCCCGTGACTGTGGTGGTGGGCGAATCTTTTGAGAAGATAGTGCTGGACGAGACCAAGGACGTCCTTCTGGAGGTAAGATTTGGCTGGGGGGAGGGAGCGGGGGGGGGAAGGTGGGGGAACTTTATTTACGCCTACGCATGCTGCATGAGTGGGTGGGTGGTGGGAGAGTTGTTCGAGAAAACTGTGTTCGACGAGACCAAGGACGTCCTGCTGGAGGTGAGAAGCTCTGGTTGGGGTGGGGTGGTGGGCGGACGCAAAAGTCTCCACCAGAGCTTCTGCTGTTACTTGAAACCAGGTAGGAATGACAGGCTGCGTGGTTGGTGGGCGAATCTTTTGAGAAGGTTGTGCTCGATGAGACAAAGGGCGTCCTGCTGGAGGTGAGAAGCTCAGGGCGAAAGGCTGGGTTGGGCCGAACAGCATTTGGCAGGCTCGGGTGGTGGAAAAACAACCGACCCCATTCAGGAAGATTGTTGATGACGAGACAACGGGCGTCCTGCTGGAGGCACGTGGAGCTTTGTTAGGGGAGCCAAGCGAGGGTAGGGTAGGGCAGGGTGGGTGGACGACAGCGACACTCTTAAGAGGGTTGTCCTCAACGAAACAGAGGACACCTTGCTGGAGATATGGAGGGATGGGATGCGTGGAGGAGGATGGTTTAGATATGGTATGGCAGGTTGGGTGAGAGTTGACGGCAGGTTCCCCCTCGCCCCTGGCTTCACCTTCTCTTTGGTGTATGCCTTTGGGCACGCACTCATCGCCTCGTCAGTCGTCTCAAACGCTCCCCAATGGTATTTCTCAGTGTCCCAATTCCTGCCTCCTCCCCCCTTCCCTCAGGTATACGCCCCCTGGTGCAGGCATTTCAAGTCCCTGGAGTCCAAATACAAGAAGCCTTAAGCCCCAAACCCCGTTCTATCCCTGTCCGTGCGCATGTCTGATAGGTATACGCTCCCTGGTGCGGGCACTGCAAGTCCCTGGAGCCCACATACAAGAAGCTCGGCAAGCGATTTGCATCGGTGGAGTCAGTGGTGATTGCCAAGATGGACGGCACGGCCAACGAGTACCCTGGGCTGGAGGTGGGTGGGTGTTGCGCACTGCATTGCGCCAGGGTTGTTTTGAAGACGAGTGAGAGGTCTTTTGTGTCAGTGGAGTCAGTGGTGATCACCAAGATGGACGCCAACGAGTACCCTGGGCTGGAGGTGAGTGTGACCTGTCTCATTGCGTCTGGGTGAGTGTCAAGTTGACTCAGAGAGGCATTTACCTCAGTGGAGTCAGTGATGATCGCTCAGATGGACAGCACGGCCAACGAGGTTATTGTACCGGGTCATCACCAGGTCGTAGCGTTGAGTAGAAGGGCCTTTGCCTCAGTGGAGTCAGAGGTGATTGCATCAATGAACTCAGCTTTTGAGTGAACTCTGCATCAATTAACTCTGCTGTGATCGCCAAAAGAGGGAGATCCCTTTGTATTTTCAATATCCGACACCTATTTCTTACACACTCTGCATATGTTTTCAATATTCGACACCCATTTCTCACACCTCTACATGTGTTATGCCCCGTCTGCACATGTACCCTCCACTCACAATCCAGGTCGAGGGGTTCCCAACGATTTTCTTCTACCCAGCCAACAAGAAGTCCGACCCAGTAAGCGAATGCTTCCCCACTCTACACAACACCCTCCACCTCCCCCTCCCCTGCCCTGCCCTTCTCACACCTCTCCCCTTGCTCCCATTCGCCCTGCTGTTGTTCCTGTGCCCTCTTCAGTCTCAAAATCTCCACCATAGTGTTATCTTCGTTTCTGCTCATGCTTGTTTATTCAAACTGTTTGAATAACTGTTTGTTACCACTCGATTAATTCCCTGCCCTCTGCCTTCTGTCGACAAAACGCAGGTGAAAGTGCAGGCAACGAAGCTGAAGCAATTTATCAAGGTGATTGTTGAAAATGCGGCCATCAAGTTTGAATTGCCTGCCAAGGAGAAGGATTCAGCCGCAGCAGCAGCAGCAGAAAATAAGGAAGCTCTGCAGGACAAGGCAGAGGAGGCTGCAGCGTCATCAGGAGAAGGATTTAAGGATGAGCTATGAGTTGTGACGGAAAGCTTTTGAAACAAACCTGTGAGACCTAATACGGAATCATAACGAGAGTAATCATGGATGGGGTGTAATGTGACAGATTCTTGTGGTGACTTGAGATCCTGGTAATTATGAGAAATTTGGTGATGTATTCGGTATAAAATAGCTTGCCCGGTGTCAAGGTGGTCTAAGAATCTGGTACTCAGTAGTGAAAGATGCAAGGTGGACTTTGCAACATATATAAATGCCATATATATATATGTATATATATGTATAGCAGCCTAGTATGTTATGAAGGCCACATTGGACAAAAAGCCATGCAGAGCCAGGCTGGAGGGCTCAGAGTGATAAAAACGCGTGGGGGCAGCTTGAGATTTCTTGACTTTTAGGAGCAACGGGAATCAACCTGGCGAGGCGATTGGTCCAGGCGTGATTCCAGCTTCGCGTCTACCAATAACGGCTCTATGGTCTCCACAGCAGAAACATTTTTCTGCCAGACGCCTGCGGTAAATTGCGCGCGAGCTGTTTATCAGAAATTGAATAAGTGAATGATGTTAGAGAGAGGGTACACACAGATATACCTAAGTGTTGTACCCTCTAAGAGGCTACCCTATACAGTCTATACAAATATGACAAATACACATGTTTGACACACCCCCTAGACTGCATAGGGGAATGTCCTAAACAAGCAGCTCAGGGCGGCACTACTAGTCCAACCTCTGAGACAAGGGTCTGAGAGACCAGTCAGAAGGAGTACAGACAAGGCAAGAACAAGAGCAGGGCGGCACTACTAGTCCAGCCACTGGGAGAGGACACAAGTCTAGTCTGAGTATACATATAAAGGACTGTACAAAGTCAAGGTCCTAGCAAGTGAGAGGCTACAGGAACTAGACCAAGCTGTACACAGTGCCGCTGATGATCTTTAGGCGCAAGCGCCTTCGTAAAGATATCAGCCGTGTTGGCACCTGAGGCCAAGTGTACTACGCGAGCCTGACGTCGCTGCTGTAGCTCACGCAGGAGGAAGTACCGCAGCTGAATGTGCTTCGCTCTGCCCTCGAGTCGAGGCTCCTGACACAGGAGGATCATGGCCCTGTTGTCAGCGAACAGGACCGGGGCAGAGCTAGGCCGCTCACCTAAGTCAGTGAGCAAGAAGGTCAGCCAGCGGAGCTCCTGTGCCGCCATGGCACCAGCGTAGATCTCAGCCTCACAGCTGGACTGCGCCACAGACGAGGAGCGAGTAGCTCTCCACGAGACGGCACCTGAGCCAAGGCTGAAGCAGTAGCCCTGGGTAGACCTGAGTGTCTCAGCGTCGTCTGCCCACGAAGCGTCTGTGTGTCCAGTAAGGACCACTGGCGTGCGTCCTCCTAGCACTAACCCCATGCCCGATGTACTAGCAAGATAACGTAGAACCCTCTTAGCGGCAGACCAGTGCTGCGGTCGGTGTCTGCCTGTGGCCACAAAACGAGCCAGGATGCTGAGAGGGTATGCGAGATCTGGGCGAGTGCAAGTCATCAGGTACATGAGGCAACCCACCAGCTCTGCGTAGGGGCCGCTGGGCTCTACCAACTCCTCAGACACTGGAGCGGAGAGTCTGTGGTCTACAGGCAGAGGGGTGGGCTGTGCAGAGGAGAACTGAAGGCTGAACCTCTGAAGGACCAGGCGCACCAAGTGTGACTGAGTCAGGGTGATGGTGCGCGCAGCTCTGTCCCTGGAGATCTGCAAGCCAAGGTAATGGCGCAGTTCTCCAAGGTCAGTGCAGGTGTGTCTCTTCAGCAGCTCTGCCTTCACGGAGGCCAGTGCGTCCCTGTCTGCTGTGGCAAAGACCAGGTCGTCGACGTAAACAAGGATGTAGAACGGAGTCTGGCCAGCACGAACGAGGAGGGAAGGGTCTGCGGAAGACGGAAAGAACTGCAGGTCAGCAAGCGTAGCACGGAGAGTGTCGTGCCACTCATGGGGAGCCTGGCGCAGGCCGTAGACGGGGCGCCGCAGGAGCCACTGGGTACCAGGAGGGAAGGTGCCAGTAAAGCCCGGAGGGCGACGTAGGTAGACCTGCTCGTGTAGGCTGCCCTGAAGGAAGGCAGTGGAGAAGTCGAGGGAGTGAAGCTCGTAGTCACGCTGAGCAGCTAGGTGTAAGAGAACCCGAAGAGTAGTCATCTTCGGGGTCGGAGCGAAGGTCTGGAAGAAGTCCACCCCCTCGCGCTGATTGAAGCCTCTAGCCACGTAGCGCGCCTTGAACACAGGCGGCTCTCCAGGAGGGCGCTTCACCTTGAAGAGCCAGCGGCCATCGACTACGTTCACCCCAGGTGGGGGAACTGCGTCGACGAAGGTGCCGGTGGATCTCCAAGATGCCATCTCCTGCTCCATGGCAGCTATCCACTGCGAGGCCCAGGGTCCCGAGGTCGCCTCAGCGTAAGTGCGAGGGGTCGGGATGTCGAAAGCGTCTGGGTCACCCTCAGGGACTAGCAGCATGGAACAGAGATGGGGAGCAGCCTCGGAGAGGAAAGCAAGCTCGAACTGGCGGTCCTCCAGGACGTCACTGCCAAGGGCAGGAGCACCCCCGACAGACAGGGTCAGAGACCAGAGCGGAGGCGTAGTCAAGGCGGCGGGAAGAGGCGAAGTCAGCGACAGCAGCGACAAGGGCGTCAAGGCACGAGACCGGAACAGGCGGGTCGGTAACGAGAGAGGCAAGGACGCGAGGAACAAGGGGACGAGCGGCACGAAGGTAGTCAGACAGCGGGGGGGGTGCAACAACAAGGGAGGACGGAGGAGGCGACGGCAGAAGTGGAGGATGAGACGCGTGGGAACGAAGCAACATAGGGTGGGAGCGCAAGACAGGCGAGGCAGGACGAGCACGGGAGGGACGGTGAGACCAGACGTGCGACGGAGGAGTCGGGTCAGGAGACAGGGGAGGGGACACATGAGGGGAACGAGGGGGGAGACGGGCCGGGGACGAGTCCGGCGGAGGGGAAACAGGGCCGTAGACAGGAAGAGGAGGAGAAGGTCGGGGAGGAACCGACGCAGGGTCGGGGGACGGCAGGCCGAGCAGGCGAAGGGCTGACACCGGCGGGGACTGCTGCTGCGGCGGCACAACGGCGACACCGAGACCGCAAGCTGCTCCTCGGCTACCCCCGGCACTCTCCACACCAGCACCTCCAGAGGGACCACCCCCAGGGCTACCGGAACGAGCACCCCCAGAGTCAGCGAACGGGTGCTGCGACGGCAGCGGCGGCGGCGGCGGCGGCGGCAACGACGGCTGCAGCGGCGGCAGAGGCGGTGGAGGAGGGGACTGGGGAGGGGACGCCAGGGGAGGGGCGGCTGATGAGGACTGCACAGCAGGGCCACCAGAGTCAGAGGACTCCTCAACCCGGTCCACCGACGGAAGGGGAGTGATGTGGGACACACCAGAGGGGGCGGGACGGGGAGGAGGAGGAGGAGGGGCAGGGACTACCGGAGAGGGAGGGACCAGGAACAGGGGGGGGGTAACCGGGGGACCACGGTGGGGGAAGCGACGGTAGTAGGAGACGGACTCGTCAAAGGTGACGTCACGAGAGTGAAAGAATCGGTGAGACAGCGGGTGGTAAAAGTGCCAGTCGGACGTGTCAAGGGGATAACCGAGGAAGACGCAGGGAAGGGTGCGGGCAGTGAGCTTGTCCGTGCCGGAGGCACGGACGTGAGCAAGGCAGCCCCAGACGTGGAACGCAGACGCGTCACCAGGAGACCCAGTCCAAAGACGGGTCGGCGAAACCTGCGGCTGCTGAGGGTGCGGCCACAGGTTAAGCTGGTGAGAAGCGTAGCGCACAGCGAACGGCCACAGAAAATGGGGTGCACCGGCATGGATCATGGAGGTGCGAGCCACCTCCATGACCAAACCGATGCGTCGCTCAGCGACCCCATTCTGCTGTGGGGAGTCCGGTAGGGTGAACGTCTGGGTGATGCCCTCCGCACGACAAAAGCGACCAAGGACACCTGAGGCAAACTCGCCACCACGGTCTGAGTGAAGACGCAAGACAGGGAGACCGCGGTGGACACGCGCAGAGACAAGCCAGGGGATGAGAGCGCCAGGCATGTCGGCCTTGCGCTCCAGGGGAAAGACTGTGGTGTAACGAGTGAAGTCGTCGACAAGCACAAGGAAGTAGCGCTCTCGACGCGGCCCAGGGACGGGGGCAGGGCCCCAAACGTCCAGGTGCAGGGTCTGCAACGGCGCGGCGGTAGGGGGAAACGAGGAGGAGTGAGGGGCACGGCGAAGCCGACCCTCGACACAAGGCGTGCAAGGTGGGGCTGGGGAGGAGGGAAACGCAGGGAGAGAACCTGGGAGACCAAGGACAAGACCGTGCTGGGACATGTGACGCAGACGCGGGAGCGCAGGGTGACTTAGGCGGTGGTGCCAAAGGAGGGTCGGGTGAGTGAGGGACCGACAGGAGTAGGCGGCAGCAACCTGGGTGAGCGCTCCAGCCGGGGGGGTCACGGTGTCCAGAGTGAACAGGCCGGACACCGGGTCCCGAGGGAACGTGGACAGGGGGGCACCAGTGGCGGCCTCGGTACAGACAGCATACCGCTCGTGACCAGGGAACGTAGTGGTGACGCCAAGGTCCTGGAGGCAGCCGACACCAACTAGGTTCCTGGAGAACGAGGGGATATGCAGACCTGTAAGAGAACTCGAAGGAACCGCCGGACAGGGAAGGGTGGTGGAACTGCGGGCGACTACCGGACCGCCAGAGGGGTCAGCGAGAGAAACGGCAGCAGGGACAGGAAGCGGCGTCAGGGTGGTGGAGTCGCGGAAGAAACACCGAGAAGCGCCAGAGTCCAAAGTGAAAGAAAGCGAAGCAGAGGCGTCAAGCAACGGAACGACGGCGGAAGCACCAAGACTACACAAAGCAGAGGATCCTACGCCTGACGCAGCAGGGGAGGGTACACTAGGCAACAGTGAGTAATAAGCGGGAAGCACACTAGAGTCATCAGCATACATCACATGCAGAGCAGAAACAATGGCATCCATGTCCATATCAAAGATCTGAATCTTACGACTAAGCAAACTGTGCCAGTCCGGGAGGTCTGGCGACGGGCCGAAGCGCTGGCGAAAGAGGTCGTCCAGGCGACGAAAACAGCGAGGAGTGGAGTGACCGATCTTACCGCAAACGAAGCCGCGGCGAGGACCGGTCTGGATCTGGTACTGACAGCGCCCGCCGCCAGAGCTACCACTTGTCACACCACCACGCGCCCGGCCACCGCCAGCGCCGGGCCACCCGGGCGGGAGGACACTCGTCTGCCGCGTCTGCGACGGCTGCGG